GGATCACATAAGGGATTTAGAGGGAGTGTTGTGTGGGGGGATGCGGGGGGTGAGGGGTGAGACAGTGGTGCGTTGGGGCGGGGGGGGTGAGAGCAGTGACAGTTAGCATCTGTGAATCAGAGATGTTTGGAAAAAAAGCACCGACGAGGGAATGGACTCTGGAGGAACTGTTGGATGGGACCGTGTTGTGGGGGGTTTGTTCCCACGGCAACAGGAGCAGCAACAGGAGAGTAGGTTAGAGGAGGAGGAGGAGGAGGAGGAGGCAGGAAGGACGGGCTGCACTGGGGACAAGTCGAGATGACTAATCCAGGAGAAGGAAAACTCCCCCTGGCCACGAGAGCAGGGAGATGCCTTCACACTCTCCCCTACCTCACCCACTGAGTTCTACTGAGGTCCTGTTCTGTCTTACCCTCTCTCACCCCAATCCCCCCACCCCCTCCCCTTTGCCTCAGACCACGAATAGGAAACATTAAAAGCTTTATTACAGTGGGGACCAAAGTGGGAGGGGGGAGGAGGGAAGGGGGGGGATTTGGGTTTTTTAAAGATTTATTTTCCCTCCATTGTATGGAATGTGTGTGTGGAACAGTGTTCAAACCATGTGTTCCGCAGCTCTGAGACCAAGTGGATCCAAACAGTGAAAATACACTGGCAAACAGCAGCAGAGCAGCTGGAAAGTTCTTCAATAGAAGTTCTGGCACCGATGTTCCCCGGGAGAGAACACACAAAGAACTGTTGATTGTAACATTTCTATCTTTGTTTCACAGTTTCACAATGACCACAACTAGGGACCAGAACCAGGACCAAGTGTGTGTGTGTGTGTGTGTGTACATTCACTGTAAACACCTCCTTGGGACCAGTCCTCAATCTGGTCCTCAGTCCTCAGGTTGTGCATTGGTCCTATGATAAAGATACACTGTAATGAAGACAAACTTCCTCTTAAGCAGTGGTTCTCAAACTGAAGTACACAGACTTGTATTTGCACTCCCTCTGCTGGTATGTGAGAATGATGTTTTTTAGGGGATTTTTTTTTTTTTTGGCAGTGACTTCACACTGGAACTGTTGGGAACTGTTTCTCCTACTGTTCAGGTTAATGTTCACGCTAACCTGACCATAGGTGTTACTGCTGGTCGGTCCAACAGCGCCCCCTATACCTGCGGGAAACCTGTGTTTGTTTCAATGCAGCCTTATTATTATCATCATTTCAACATTGTTATGAGTTCAACAGTTCAACAGTACTGGGAGTTGGGGGGGGGCGGTGTCTTTTTTGAACTCGTTAAAACTTCTCTCACATCTAAAGAATTCCAGTCATGTGACCTGGGACTCCCGTCTATAATGACTTGACATTTGGACTCAGTGTCACAGAGTTCTAACTGTTCTGGGTTTGTTGTTGTTATAGAACCTGCATTTAAAAAAAAATCCTCACCCAGGAAGGCGGGGGAGGGAGGAAGTCCATCTCCCTGCCTTTCTCCCCTCTACTTAACTGAACATGTGATAAGAATTTCTGTCTGCTCCAGATCTGCCCCGCACAGAGGCTGCTGCCCCGCACGGAGGAGCCACGGAGTGAGCACCGAGGTAGGAGTGGAACCTGCATTTAGGGTGAGAGTGATGATGATGATGGTGATGATGGTGATGATGATGATGATGTCATAGGAGGCTTTAATCCCAGGTGTCAGTGTGACCCCTGTGTTCTGATTGGCTGAGACAGTCCCACATCAGTAGAGTATTTTTTTGTAGTGAAGTATTTTGTCGTTGACTCCAGGTTATATTTGAGTATTTGATGTGCAAACAGTCAGAGAGAAGTGCATTATGGGATGTTGGTTTTAATGGTTATGAACGTCAAAGTCTTCGTCGACAGACAGTGAGATTTCAGAGATTTTCTTCTTAAAGTTCTACTAGAACGACAATAGTTCCTCACCCACTCTCTCACCCTCTCCCTCACCCCCTCAGCTCAGACACAGATCTGAGAGAACGTCCAACTGTTCAGGTGTGAGAACGACGACAGAGTAGAAAGGTCAGGGGTTTGATCACTGGCAGTGCAGTGAATTTAACAGCATTAGTTTCAACAGAAACGTTCACGTGCACAACGTGAGCGCCGTTTCTTCCCAGGCTGTAGAGACCGTGACCATGGTGTCCTTGACCAAATCGTCTCACCGCTGCCACACAGAGGGCAGTGTTTAAACTCAGAGAGACTTTTCTTTTTTTTCTGACTTCTGTCAAAGCAGAACCGGCAGAACCATGCCGGGATCTTCCAGGGTGAAGAATCTGGACCTGTCCAGACTCTCTGACGAGGAGGCCAAGCATGTGTGGAGAGTCGTCCAGCGGGACTTTGACCTGCGGAAGAAGGAGGAGGTCAGACTTGGGTAGGTTATGAAGATGAAGGCTATGACCATGTGGTCTGTGGCTGGTCCAGTTTGGGTCTTTTTTTAACCCATCACCTCAGGGAGCAGGTGACATTTAACACCACTGCCCTGTTATATCGGTATGGTTGATATCAGAATCGGAAATTAAGCGTTTGGACAATATCGGCATATCAAATATGGAGAAAAGGTTAACATCGGACATCCCTAGTTAAGGTCGTTGTTTTGGACACAGTATGTGTGATTCTGGTTTCAGAGACTTGAAGACCAGGGTGAAACGAGAGGACATCAAGAGGGAGTTGTTGGGCCAGTGGTCCGGTCGGACGGCGGCCTACTGCATCCACTGTCTGCAGCCGTTCAAGTTCCTGCTCAAGAGCAAACGTCGCTGTGTGGACTGTGAGCTGTTCATCTGCAAAGCCTGCAGTCGCTACAACAAAACGGATCGAGGTTACGTGTGCGATTCCTGTCACATGGTCAGGTATGACATCACACAGAGGAGCTAATTATGGATTATGAGTCCTGGGTGTATTTTAATGATGCTAACAGATCATTCATTTCTATTATTACGCTCCCCCCCCCCTTCCTCCCCACTGACCCCCGTTCCCTACAGGGTTCTCAAGACCGGTACACTGGAGTGGTACTACGAAAACCTCCGCACCCGCTTCAGGAACTTTGGCAGTGTCAAAGTGATGCAGTCTCTGTTCAAGAGGCTGAGGACGGACCGGGGGGAGAGCACGGGTGAGTCAATGAGCTAACGCCTAATTTTCACTCATTTTTCTGTCAGTATGGTGTGTGGTCCTGATATCAAGTACTGTTGCTGGTACTTGTCCAGCTTGGTTTTCACTAATTATGCAGTGAAGCTCTGTGGGTAACAGGGTTGAGGGGCTCACAAGCTAACCCCGCTAATGCCGCTGGACCATGTGGACTGTTGTTGCTGGTTCTGAAGTCCTGGTTCTGCTATAGAACAGACCTGTATGCAGTAGAACTGTTGTCTGGAGCAGGAGCCAAGTCTGTGACTCCCTCTAATCTCCCCCAACATTCCCGCTGTTTTCTCCCAGCCTCCTCACAGCTGTGCACAGAGTTATCACAGAGCAGTAACTGGACCTGGACCTGGATCAGAACATTTCCTCTGCTGTTTGGTTCTTCTTGTAAATAAACAGAACTTACTACACTGCTGTGTAGACACAGGGCGGTGACTTCCATATTGCGGTGTTTACTGGTGCAGATTGCCTTGACTGAAAATGTCCATCAGCCTGGCTAAATGGCCTTGTGGCAGTCCACGACCCAGATGTTTGTTTTTTTTTTAAATCCACTCGTGCCTTCTGCAGTTTGATGTTCTTCTGGTTCTCCATCAGCTCCACCTCAAACAGTAAAACACATGGGTGTTTTATTTTGAGTCCAACATTTATCTAGTAATAAAGTGTTGTAATAAATTTACTACAGAGAGAGAGAACGGGAGAGAGAGAGGGAGAGCGGCGGGGGAGACGGGGGGCGAGTGATGATTAACTGTTAGCTGGTGGTGAGACTTGGAACAGTTTTTGATGTTCTCTAAAAGGCTTCTTTTGAAGGAAGCAAAAATTAATAATTAGGATTAAACACCATCTTCACCGCAGAACTCCAGCAGAGAACGTTGCATCAGATCAGTGACTCATGTTCCAGACTCCTGCCTGAAGATTTGGAGCAGAAATCCAGGCGAAGAATGTCTGGCTCAGCCCGGTCCTGGTCCTGTGATCCCTCAGTCACATGTCTCCCATTATTTGTCTGGGTATAAAAAAAAAAACATCTGAGCAGAGGTTGATCAACCAGAAACAGAACCAGAAAATGAAAATGATTGAGAGAGAGAGAGAATGAGGGGGGAGATGGGAGGGGGTTCTGACAACTCCGACTCATCTGCTGCTGCTGTGAACTCAGTAAGAATAAAAAGAAGACTTCAGTAAAAATGTTTAAAATGATCAGGCGCTCATGTGACCAGCTGGATTAGATTGAACATGCATGACAGTGCACTACCCCCGTCAGCCCCCCCCCCCCCCCGCCCCCCCCCCTC